CTTAGGCAGAGTAGGGTTGGAGTTCTGACTCTTTAGTGTCCTAAGGTCATCTAATCTAGAAATTAAGCTTCATTAAAAGGAAAAAGATGGAAACTTAAAAACAATGACCTAGAAACTTCTTTCTTATTTGAAATGGATTTTGTAATACTCAAATGAAATTACAAAGAAGAGAGAACTTTGGGAATTTTAACTAGCTTCATTACATAAAGTATCATTAACATTTATAAGCATACACAGACATATTTGAGCATGGAAGCAGAAATGTGCAGGAATTTAATTCATACCTTCTTGGTTATGCAACTCTAGTTAAAACATGGCAAATGATGGTAGCACACCAATTTGCTTGTTTTAATTTGTTTTGATAATGTGGGCATTAAAAGCATATTCTGGCATTAACAGACTGCAAACAGGGACAGGGGATAGGAAAGGAGAAGAACATAATGTAAGATTGATTTCAAAGCACATGTTCAGCAGAAATACAACAGGATGGAGAGGAATTGGGAAAGTCAGACGTAGAAAATTTGGCTAAGGACTGCTGGAGTCCCTGGAGGGAAACTGAAGAGGGTGAGCATACAATAAGAGGATCGTTTAGGAGGCCAGCTGCATGAAGGATGAGCAAGAAAGAAGGAAAGATAGCACTTATTTCTCAATCTCTGATGAGGAAATATTTAGAGTCATGTGTACTTCCAAGAGTTCATGGATGGAGAAGCATTTGGTCTAACCATGGTGGCAAAGAAGCTGCTCTGCCCTCCCAGAGTTCCTCAGGTCCATTACAGAGTTGGATACAAGCTCCTAACTGCAGTGTGCAGCTGATGAAAATCTGGAAGCTGGCTTAGGGGGGAGATCCTCATGGCACTATGTTCCTACTCCTGGACTCTGCTGCTTCAAAACTGGCTGGCTCAGTTACAGGTGTTTGGAGTCTCTCTCTCTCTCTCTCTCTCTCTCTCTCTCTCTCTGCCTTTCAATTAAGAAAAAATAAAAGTTTGCATAAAAATTGAATTAAATGAAAAGCTTATCTTGAGCTTGTATTTTGAAATTCAAGCATTTTTGTTTCAACATGGATTTTCCAAGAACTTTTTGAAGACTGCCTATATGCATCCATTTTTTATTTTCCTTTTGGGACCACACTAAACATATCCTATAATTCCATTTCCCTAATCACTTGGAAAGACCTGGGTCTGTGATTTCATGTGTCTCAGGAGAACTGGGCAGTGAAAAATCTCTGATTCTGAGAGAAATGAAAAAGAATCTTTCCCTGATTAGGCAGTTATTTTTCAAAAACTATCTTAATCATTTTACAGAGCAGCACTGTCAGCTAAGTATCATTTTATCCTTTGAGTACTGAGGCCTTGAAACTGAAAGATTTATTTACTTGAAAGGCATAGCATGGCGGGGCAGAGGTAAGGGGAAAGAGTCTCCGCTGTCTCACTCCTCCTATAGCCAAAGCAGCCGGTCTGGGGCAGGTTGAAGTTAGAAGCCAGCTTGTGGTGGGGGCACAACCATTGGAACCACCTTCCCCTGCCTTTCCATGCACGTTAGCAGGAAGTTGGACTGGAAGTGGAAAAACCAGAACTCCAACCAGCCCTCCAACTGGGATGTCAGAAGCAACGGAAGCTACGAGAGGCTTGGAAAGCTGAGGCTACCTGGAAAGCCACAAAACAAATTTATGGCGAAGCATTTGTTTGTTGGAACCATCATGCATAGTTTGTGATGACCAGATTCAATTAGAACCATTAATATTAAAACTAAAAGATTAGTATATGATGTTTTGCAGTCAAATTGTTTCCATATTGAGTTACAGCCCCCCCCCCAAAATAAAACTAAAAATATCTTGGTATCTCCAGTTTTTTTTTTTTCCTAAGTGACAAATTACATCATTCTTTCTTCTGACCTTGGTGCCTAAAACACTAGACGGAAACCCATTCAAGATAAGCACAGCAAAGACCAAAAGAAAAAAAAATATGAATCAATGAATAAAAACATACCTTGCCCTGCTGTAGGGAAGTCAGATAAACCAATACTAAACAAATATGTGCTCTTTACCCAAGGGAAGATGAATGACAATCTCCTAATTTTAGCTTATGTAAAACTTCCAACTTAAGACCATTTTTAAACTTAGTTTTGGCTGTTAACTCTAGGCAAATAGTTTTTAGCATTTTGCTTCGTTTTTCTTACTAACTTTTAATTACGTTTTTACTCATCAAAGATTTTTCAGGTTTTCAAATCCATCCTTCAAATACGTACATTCTAATGAAATCAAAAGACAAATTTAAATCCAGTAATTTGATGCCTGGCTGAATTAACACAAGGTAACAAGAAAAGGTTCAATCAAGGTGCTTTGTCAGCAGGAAAACTCCTGCCAGGACTCTAAATGGATACCTGGCTTTTCTCATCCTGTAGGAACCTGGATTTCTTAAGAAAAAAAAAAAAAGTCTGAAGATGGAAAGCAAATTCATAATAGAATATCCAAGGTAGATTCAGAAGTCTGGTTTGCTTTCTTACATTTATTATGGTCTGAATCAGAGCTTGGGAGACAGTAGACTCGCTGCTCCATCCTGTTCAGCAGAGGAGGTAAGGGTGATTTTTTTTATACCCTCGCGTGGTTAGAGTTTAGTCTAGATACCTACAGAACATCCTCAATTTTGACTTGGCCTTCAGCAGTGCCTGATGCAATCACTATGTCTTTAAGAAAGAGCCTACTGGTCCTTTGGTTTAGAATTTTTCTTTTTCTCCAAAAGAGAAATCTGAAGCTCTTGTGAAATGGTTATATTGTTGGATAAGAGTCTAAGTGGACAGTGAATTTTCTGTCTGGAGTCTGTTACTTAGGGTTTTATTTGTCATTAAATGTTTGACATTCTTTCTTATGAAAGACGAATGGTCATTTCCTGCAAAATCAAAAAAAAAGGATTATATAAAATTATATAAACATCAATTTAGATAGTTGGTTCCAAAAGAGAAGCTAGGAGTGTCTGATGCTTATTGAAACAAAGAATCTGAAAATTTTTTCTTCACTTATCTAACATCTCATGAAAAATTGAAACTCAAAATATCTTGGGCTGTGGGCAGCGGTGGTGACCCCACAACTCTGCGTGTGTGTGGGGGGGGGAGCATCTTTTAATGATGCTTGGTTTTCTCCTTCCCTGCTCCCCAGCAGTGGGAGGAACCTGTTGATCTTCCAGCGTGAGTAAGCAGAGACCCCCTCAGCATCCCTGGCTGAAAGTCTAAGAGCAGCTGGAATCTGATTTGCCTCACTCTATAGGCTGAATACTAACCTTTCCCCAAGACCGGCTGGTATCCACCTAAAGGATGCTTAGGCAAAACAAGAAGTGATGTAAACAACACCCGAATGATCACATTCATTTGATCCACAGCATTGCTTTTGCAAGGGGCACAGTCCTTGAAGTAATTTAATGATGGTTTGTCTGGATTCTTACCAAGAACGGTATGTTTACATGACTCGGTGGTCCTCATTTAAACAAATTAACACTGTTGATGGAAACTAGTTACAGATATACTGGTGAGTCAAAAAATTCTGGTGTTTTCTTAAATATTAAGTTATTTCTGATATGGAAATTGGGGCGATTCCTTTCTTTGAAATGAGAAAATATCCCATGGGGAATATGTTTGCTGGCTTCACGGATTCACAAAGGGGCTTTAAAAACTATCCATACTTGAAATCTTGCTCTTGGTGGCTGCCTTCTCTGTAAACTGGTTATCACGCAAAGGAAAATGTATCATGGTGTTTATAAGGTGGGCTGAAAATTCCAGTCTCTAACCTTTAACGCTAACATCCTCATTTAGTACAACAGCATAATCGCCAGATGTCAGCCTCCCCTGAAATAAGTACCCTGTGCCCAACATAGATGGTTTAGAGAACATGCGGGGAATGTCCACCCACACAGACCCAGAGGGCGTAACAGTGGCACTCTAAACGCTGGCCTTTAGCACCCGGGTCATTTCCATGGAAAGGATGGCTCAGAGAATCCCTCTGTGGTACCTCCCGATAAGGCCTATTAGAATGGATCAATCATTGTAATGTGCTTAGGAAAAAAGAGCAGGGAGGGAGCTACTTTGAGACAAGACAACTAAGCACAGCCATCCGAGCAGATGACAGAGATCTGCCCATCCAGGTCACCGCTGCCCGCACAGCTCTGTTAGAATTCAACAACAGTTCAATGCTGACTCCAATACGAAAATCCGTGAACTGCTACCTGACAGCACAGCTACACAGCGCTAAATGCAACATCAACAGACTGAGAGAGCCAAACTGACGTTTCTTTTTTAAAGATTGAATTGCTCAGCGTGCTTGGAGGTGATGACTGGATTGGTTTAAAGGCTCCGGAGAGGGACAGGGGAGGGTGTCTCTTCCTTCACATTCCTAGTCTGGGCCTCAAGGCTTTAGACAAACAGGAAGCCAGAAATGCCTCGCATCACAGCAGAAAAAAGAAAAATAAAATTTAAAAAAAAAAAAGGAAATTTAAAACATTTCAATTCCACTTTATTTTAGAACGAATGCATGTATTTGACACACTGATGCGCCGGATAAAGTTACCACATGTATTTTAGCATTTCGAAAGAGGATTAATGATTTGGTATTTCGGCAAAATGTGTACATCACAATAGGTGCCCAGGTCGTCCCTGGGTTTCTAAGACCTCTGAGAGCTCGAACCTCCTCCCTTCTCTCGGCTTGGGTGCCGCCCCACGTCCACCCGCAGGGCCTGGGAGCCTGGGAGGCGCTGGGAGCGCGTTCCCACGCTCCGGCCGGGTCGCAAGGCCGCGGTGACCCCCCAAGGGGCTTCTTTGGGGCGGCTAGCGGCCGCCCAGCCCCGCCCCGGCTGGGGAGCGTGGGAGCGCAGAGAGAAGGGCTGGCCGAGGCACCGCAGAGGATGCGCGGCGGCGGCGGAGAGGGAAGCAGGGCGCTGCAGGGAGAGCACCAGGGGGCGTCCCCCGAGGGCCCTCCGAGCACGGCGCCCACGCAAGGGCCCGAGCCTGCCACTTACTTGATGTCTTCCCACACCTCGGGGCCGTAATTGCGGATCACCAGCAGCTCCAGGGCGTGATTCACGAATCCGTACTGCGGGCACAGGGAGAAACCGGGGCGTCAGCCAGCGGTACGCTGTAGGTGGGAAGGGGCTTGGAGGCCAGATGGTTGACACGGACTCCATTGCGCTCCTGGAACCTTTCGCCCCTATCCCCGGCCCGCTCAGCTCCATTAGGGCGTACCCCGTCCTGCATGGTGACTGAGCCGTCACCCCAGCCCCATCACTGCCAGAGGCTCGCCGTCAATCATCCGCCCCACCCCCATGCCATCCTCTTAGGCTGGATCACCTGTCAAAGCGCAGGGCAGCATAAGGACTCGCACCCGGAGCCTGTCCGCCCGCCGATCCTGAGCTTCCCACACCCACAAGGGCCTGCAGGACTCGAGAAGACCCCGCACTCCGGCCGTACTCCATCTCGGGAGAAAGGAAGGTCCTGTGCACAGGATCCGCGGAGGAAGCAAAGCTCCGATCGGCTCCTCCGCGACCCCTCGCGACCCTACCTCCCCTGCCCGTGCGCAAGGCAAACAGGGCAGGCGGCTCCGGCGGCCGGCGGTGCGCTCCCTCGGCCCTGGCGGCAAGCTCCGCCGGCGCGGCCGGTTCCATCCGGCAGCCAGGCCGGGCCTGAGTCGTGGGGTGCAGTTCTGGCCTGCTGAGGCTGGAAAGCACTCACCATGGTACCTGGCGCCCCGAGTCCGGGAGGCAGTCCCCACGCAGAGGCACGGTCGAAGGGGACCTAGGCAGCAGCAGCTGCAGCAGCGACAGCGCAACCCGGCCGGGGCGGCAGCACCGAGCTGCAAGCCAGCGCACCAGCCCCGGCCGGCCCTGATTGCCAGCTCTCTCCAGCCAATGGCGAGTCGAGCCGCAGGAGGCCGGTCATGGCCCACGGATTTCCAGCCAACCAACTCCAGAGGAGGGAATTCGGTTGCTCTCGAGGCTGCTAAGCTCCAGTACCTTCCCACCCCCGCCTGGCGACAAGGCCTTCGTTTGAGGCCATAACAACGGGATGGAAGAGCCCTGGCCGTTTCCCCTGCAATTATTTTGGGGGCTGGAGAGATATACCTCTTGTGGTTCCCCCTAAATGTGTTCTTATGTAGAGATGTGTCCTCATGGATAGCAAAAAAATGAGGAGAGAGTGATGTTGTCGCACACAAACCTTAAAAGGCATCTACCCCTGCAATCAGCAGCGTCGTGGTTAGCATTGCCTTGCTGAAACACGTTTCCATTGTGGTATGGTCCTTTAGCAGCGTATGGCAAATTATAAGTCACTGAGACCACCTGAAATTTCCAGTTACAGAGTTTGGTGAACAAAAATGGTCAAAATCAGCTCTTCCTCTTTGCTAGGCGAGACAAGAAGATCCTACCGTGTATTGGTCGCACTTTGTTCCAGTGCGGTTTGGGCGTGGGGGGTTGCACAGGTAGTTGACGCTGCGCCATGCCAGAACTCCCAGGAGGTCTAAACTCTAGGACCGGTGCCTATTGCCGTGTCTCAGGGGAGACAATGTCCAGTGCAAAGCAGGTAGATTTTAATGACTGTCTTGGCCAGGCTACATTCTAGCAGGCATTTGGCTCCCTGCTGAGCCCCAGCACAGCCTTAAGGTAACAAAGGATCAGGTGTCGACAGTGGATGAAAGCCTTTGTGCCTGAGGCGTTAGAGACCACGGCGGAGAAAGTCAAAAGGTATCAGGCAGGTTGCCAGTCAAATGGTCCTAAGAAGGACCTAAAAATGGTGTTCATGCAGCGGGATACAGGTGGCTTCCATTCTATAAGCGCCATTTCTGGGAGGATGCACAGGGAAAGGTTGGCACGGTGTTTATATAGAGCCAAGATTTTCCCTTCATATGGGATAACCTGTTTTGTTTGAGATTTTGTTTTTCTAGATGCCACCGTTGTCAAAGGCCAAAAGACTTGTTTGCTTTTTTTTCATCATGTCTGTCTCCAGCCTCTTTTAAACAGTGCTGGACCTAGCTAGTGCCTCGGTTTGGAATGTTCTGCAAAGCGGGTTATTGCCCTGGATGAATGAGAGGGCAAGTCCGCATGAAGGAAGATACTAGATGAAACGGAGGATGGATGCTCCTGTCAACACACACGCACGCTCTCTCCAGCTCACACTTCAGCCTCAGCACGCCAGCTGTGCCAGAACTGCTTATGCATCGATGCATTCCGTATCCAACACGTATTTCCAATTGTACATTTAATGATCTGTTTCCTAAATGTGTCACAACCACTTGGAATCTGCTCGAAGTTCTATCCACCAAATTACGGCTGCCCTTTGCTTGACCCACAGGATTCTACAAAATGTACATGGAAGTGCCTTACCACCGGGTCACTAACTGTGCTTCACCATGCACCCTACCTGTCATTACACCTGTTGGCCAAGAAGTCTGGAAATGACATCACACTTGTGACTTTTGCCGTTACAATCAGCAGACACTTTAAAGAATTGATTCAGAGTGCTGATTGGCAAGAAGTATGATGTTTAGATGACACGTTCTGGGATGTGGTCTGGATCCATGGGAAAAGTGGAAAAAATAAAACTCTCAAGAAAAACGATTCCTGAAGAGATGTCATTCAGATTTCCGTTTTTGCTTGCCAATTAACTGTCAGTTGAGCCACAGGAAACGGGTGTTTTTAACATCAAAAGAAAAAAGCTGTTAAACTTTTTTTTTTTGAGAATTTATTTATTTGTTAGGCAGAATTCCCATGATTCACTCCCGCCAAATGCTTATAGCAGCTGAGGCAGTCAAGGACTGGAAGTCAGGTATCAAGGACTCAATCAAAACTTCCCCCAGCTGGCATGAAGACAAGCTGTTGACCATCATCTTCTGTCTCCCAGTAACATCAGCAGAGAGCTCGAATCAGGACCCAGAATCAGGCCATGAACAGAGGCACCCGGATGAGGGGTGTGGGCCCCCCAGCAGCATCATGACCACTGCATTAAATGCTCACTCGTAGATGTATTGCTTAACATGACCTTTTGACACCAAATTTTCTAAAGTGGTTTTTTTTTTAGATTTATTTATTTTTATTGCAAAGTCAGATATATAGGGAGGAAGAAAGACAGAGGGGGAAAACTGATTCCATTGATTCACTTTCCCAAGTGGCTGCAACGTCCAGAGCTGAGCGGATCTGAAGCCTCTTTCAGGTTTCCCACAAAGGTGCAGGGTCCCAAGGCTTTGGATCATCCTCAACTGCTTTCTCAGGCCACAAGCGGGGACACCAGGAAACAAACCATTGCCCATATGGGATCGTGGTGCATCAAAGGACATAAGCCGCTAGGCTATCGCACTGGACCCTAAAATGTTTTTCTTGCTGTAAGTTGTATAAATGAAAATAGTATCAGTCATATGATATCTAACTCTTAAAAAGCATTAGATAGTGCATTACAATAGTGCTCTTCTTAAGTTATATTCAGTTACAGATTGAATACTACAGACATTAAAGAAAGTAGAAGATGTTTGCTTGCTGCTCTTTTTCTGTCTTCCTTTTTAAAATGTTTAATTTATCTGAAAGAGTGACAGAGACAGAGAGAGAGACAGAGAGGGGGAATGAGCTTCCATCCTCTACTTCATGTTCTAATGGATATAAAAGACGGAGCTGGGGCTGTGGCAACCTGGATCCAGGAGCTTGGAACTCCATCCCAGTGCCCCACATGAATAGCAAGGGCCCACGGGCTTGGGCTGTCTTCTGTTGCTTCCCCAGGCACATTAGCAAGTGTCTGGATCAGAAGCAGAGCAGTGAGGACTTCAGCCATCACTCTGACATGGGATGCTTGTATCACAAGAGGCGATTTAACTGACCACACCACAACAGTGGCCCCTTTTAGGTTTTCTTAACTGAAAGAGCAGTATTAGCTCTGTGGCGTGGTGGTGAGTTACTCCGATCCACCAAATCATCTTGTTTTTTTTTTTTTTTAAACCAGTCGATAAAGACACAATGTTGGGTAGTTATTTCCTTTACTTGAACTACAACTTCCTAACTTGTACACAAGATGAGAAAAATAATGAATCAATATACACGATAGCTGAAAAAGTAAAACAAACAAAAAACTACCGACTTTGTTATTATAAGCAACAGGTGTTTAATGCAGGCATGCTGCTTTGAGTGCCATATGTGAAAGACACAATGTTGTTTAAGTAATATCATTTCTGAGGTTGTTGCTGCTATTGATGCTTTTGGCATCCATAATTATTGCATTTAAACAGCCTTTCTAAACCTTTGAGAAATGTAATCTATCCGTTTGCAGGTAATGCCAGCGGTGGTGTTCATAAAAAAGCACTGAGATATGATTCTAAAGAAAAGAAAATGCCTGCATCTGTTTTGCCCGCTGTGTGCATGGAAAGGCAACCCACAGATGTCCCCTTTTGGGGGGGCGGGTTAAGTGAGAGATAAGGGGAGAAGCCCCACCCAGTCTCCCACCCATCCCAGGTCCCTGATGTGGGGCATGCTCCGAGGATCTTGCTCAAGTGGTTTGGATAGTTCAACAGTTATGAATTGCTGCCAATCTTGCCATTCCAAGCACGATGAGGTCGCTGCAGAATCCACTGATTGACATAGTCCACAAGTTGCTGATTGTTTGTAAAAATCAGTTCCTTTGGGGCCGACCTGGTAGCCTAACAGCTAAAGTCCTCGCCTTGCACGCACTTGGATCCCATATGGGATCTGGTTCTGATCCTGGCAGCCCTGCTTCCCATCCAGCTCCCTGCCTGTGGCCTGGGAAAGCAGTTGAGGACAGCCCAAAGCCTTGAGACCCTGCACCCGCATGGAGACCCAGAAGAGGCTTCAGACGCCTGGCAACTGGCTGGTGTGGTCACTTGGGAAGTGAATCATCAGACGGATGATCTTCCTCTCTGTCTTTCCTCCTCTCTGTATATCTGACTTTCCAATAAAAATTAAAAATTAAAAACAAACTGCATTAAGTAAGCTCTTAATAACATCAGTTTCCTCCCCTGGAAACAAGACAGTTGTGGAGATAAAGTGTCATCACATCATGAAAGCCCATATTACAGTGCTTGACATACGGTAAACATTCATCAAATTTAAGCATTATAATCCCTTTATGCACTTTTCTGATAAAATTACAAATATTCCATTTTCACATGTGTTGTGTTTGAGTCAAAATGATTTGCCAAAGTGCCATACGGGCATTACAGAGAGTATAAGCCAAGGTTCCCTGTTCCTCCTCTTTATGATTCCAACCTCACAGTCAGCAGCCAAAGTCAGCAGAAAGAATAAAATCAACCCACCATGGGTTATGTTTTCATATTCTACCAAAATAATATGCATGAAACGTATTGCACTGATCTTTCTTCTTTGTTCTCTATTACTTTCATTTCCATCCCTGCCAAGAGATCAACTTTCAAAGTCCACAAAATTATTTTTACAATTTTCAAAGCTATTCAGATCAACATTGTTTTTTGGACTGCTATGAAGATCTGTGATTTCCTCAGTCTGATTCTAGGTTAAAAAAAAATGTTTTTTATGGAAATTAGTAGGGGTGTTTTCATGTAGAAGAAGATGAAGAAGAAGGGGAGGGAGGAGAAAGATGGAGAAAGAGGAAGGATGGAGGGAGAGGAGAAGGACAAAGGAGAGGAAGGAACAAGAAGGAGAAGAAGCAAGAAGAAGGACAGGGAGCAGTGACAGAGGAAGATGAGAAGGGGAGGGGAGAAGATAGCAAGGAAGGGGGGAGGAGGGGAAGAATGAAGAAAGAATGAGAGGAAGGAGGAAGATGAGGAACAGAAGGAGAGAAGACCGTGCAGGTGGGTCTTCAGTGGAGCATCCCTTGCTGGAGTACCTGAGACCTCCTGGATCTTTCTCCTTACTCAGGCTCCTGCGAGAAGGCAGCAGACGGGTTCAAACAGTTAGGGTTCCTGCTGTGCACCTAAGAGACTTCAGTTCCTGGCTGCTTCCTCGGCCCCAGGCCAGCCCCTTCCTGGCAGTTGGGACTATTTGAGAGTGAGTCAGTAGGTGCAAGCTGTGTTCCTCTTTCTTTTTCTCCCTCTTCGTGTCTCTCTGCTTCTTACACAAATAATTTTTTTTTCTAATGAGCAGTGGAGTTAACTTTGATTTGACTCTTCCTATGCATGTAACAAGAAACGTGCCAAGATGGCTGGAACGATGCCTCTCTCACCCAGACAATATGTTCACATGCTAATCCCAGAGCTCAGTTAGCACCTTAATTTTAGCACTCCTGATCACCAAATTCATTTAGCAGAAAGTCTCTCACTGTTCTTCCATACGTATCCTATCCCCTACCATGCCGTGCTCTTATTCTCCTACCAACCATGCTGCGTTTCACTGTGAAAATGACCATGCTAAAACAGTTCGTGCAGAGATTGGACTTGCTTCTTAGAAACCCACAGCTTTTTCTGAAAGAAGGAATGCTTCCCCCTCCCCTCCCCCCCAGGATTAATGGTCCAAAAAAATGTTGATAGCTGTGTTTGTCATGCATTTCAAACTATAGTAACCAGCTATCGCTAACTTGAACGGCAAATAAACCGCAGAGTTTGGGATAGTGCCCAAATTCATGAAGACTGCAAAGGCAGTATATAAAATATTCACGATGTAAATCCTCCTTTCTTCAAGGAAAAGTGTTGAAAAGGATCCTTAATATGAGTCACTGTGTTGCACACAGCACATGATTATGAAGATTCGTAAGTGGGGGCTGATTTTTTACAAGGAAATACAATTTTTTTAATTTAGAAACATTTTTCAAATTGCCTTTCTCTCTGCACTTTGCTCATTCATTTCAGTTCCAAGTGGTTTTTGCTCAACTGTCTACTTATAGCTAAGAAAACCTGCTATAGTCACTATCAGAATCCATGGGCTGTTTCTCAATGCTAACTAACTTTTCTATTTTTTTTTTTTATTTGGACATCATAAATGTTAGTAGGAAGTAGTTCATTCCAGGAGTTGAGAATGAGGTTTGAGAGGAAGCCAACAGCATAGCTAAAAGGCTGGGAAAGTGAAGGGGAGTAACATATTGTGGAATGGTCCACGGCACCATGGGAATACACGCAAAGATGAAAGGATGGAATTATTTAAACATGTGTTGCTCCAAAACAAAGTTATTTTTTCATCTCTTCTCTAAAAATTTTTTAAGTCCACTCAAATAAATATTCATCTCGGGCTTTTTAAAATCCCTTCAAATAAATATTCATTCTACGAAAGATATCCAGAGAAGACATCCGGTCACATTTCCATTGCAATGCCACATATGCTTTCATCCCTCGTACAAACGAACACATCTCCTGGTCTCTGCTGACCTGTCCGTGAGACTTTGAAGAAGCATTTGTCTCTCAACAGCAGACCACCCTCACCGTGTTTTCCAGCCCTATATCTTAATTCCCGTTGCAAGGATCTTGATTGCCATTGTCTTTGACAAATGACCACACTGCCTCAATACATTGATGACATAATGCTGATGGAATCCAGTGATTGTGAAGTTGCACCTATGGTAGACTTACTACTGGGACGTTTCCATGTCAGAGGCACTACCACTGTCTTCTAATTCTACTTGCCACACAAATATGCTTGAAAAGGTAATGCAGATAGATCAAAGACAGGCAACGCCTCGTTTTTTCTTTGTGAAATGTTGAGGAGTATCTGGCTATCCGTAATAAAGAAAAAAGAAGGAAATGTGAAGGAAGAATGGAGGATTGTCTGTCAATGGGGAACAATAGAGATCTAACCTCACTGCTGGTCACTGTCCTTGGATAAACCAAGTCAAATTTTGAAGTTTAGTTTTATTAGATTTTCTTTTTATCTGTGTTTGGAAAAACTTGACTACGTTTTTTTTTTTTTTAGAAAGCATGGGTTTTACAAACCATTCAAAGATATGTGCTTTGATTATGTTAATGATTTATTTGAAGAGGGATTTAGCTACACTGACCAGCTACACTGACTAGCAACAGCCTGACCTAATACTTGTTTATCCTGTTTTTCCACGTTGTTGTGCCAGAAGCTTCCTCCATCTGTAGCAGCAAGACTCACATCAGGACAAATGTATTTGTATCACTTGGAACCATATTGTTCATATTTGAGTCAATGGTTCAGTTTTCTTTGTAAACAGAATTCATTTTAAATTTCAAGACGATTTTTATTGAAGCACTCTTATTACAATATTCATGTGGCAGCAATATCTGACAAACTTTGGAGACAGGGTAACATTTTGACAAACTGCAAGTCTGTCAGATGCAGAACTGAAAGTAAATGTTATTTAAAACAAAAGTGAAAGCAATAATAAGAGAAGTGTGATGTGCAGTAAGATGGGTTTCAAAGCACAATTCAGTAGCTATTATCCTTCGGACAGAGGAAAAGTTGTAAGAATGATTTAAGTTTAAAAAGCGGGATACCTATAGCAATGCAACTACAGCAAAATGAGATGTTTCTTTGATATTTACTAAAAATGAAACTATGTGGGTAGGATACCTTGTGAAGCAATCCAAACAATAGGACTGAAAAAGAAAAAGGAAAAAATAATTTCCTTGATTCCTCAAGAAGCAAAAGTGTTCTCCTCTAAACCAAAGCTCACACACTTCTGCTGGTTTTCATCGATGTCATTTCAAAATATTAGCTCTTTCCAGTCTTTAAACAACAAGGTCTCAACTTCTCCTCTAGACACTAAGTCCTTACCCAATAGATACATATTTTTAATTTTGTTCTTTTAGACCACAGGGTCTAAAGTGCGTCTCAGTAGCGGTCTAGCAGTAGATTCCAGAGAGTTCCCTTCCTTCTGAATATCCATGTTACAAGGGCTAATTGGGAACATGCAGAATCTGCAGGCAAGATCATCTACATCTGCTCAGGATGACACATGACTCAGAGTTAAAAACTTGCTGACCAATTAAAACCATTTCCACGTAGCAGGTAAAGATTCATTGCAATGGCTGAATAAAATACCGAAATTTGTACTGACACATGTGCTTACAAAGAAAAGGAAATCATCTTTTGGCATATGCAGTATATAAATTGAGAACAACATATAAATATATACATACATAATATACATACACATGGAAACTCAAACATAAGAGTGCTGAAATATTTCACTTAAAGTGCAAAAACTCAAAAGGCTGGAGGTGGGAGAATAGGGCTCTGGAGCAGTGAGTGTCAAGTTCTGAGCTTTTACACAGTATCTTTCATCTCCATGTTGAGAGGAGGCAAAGCAGCAGTAATTTCTCAAATATGGTTGTGTTTCTATCCACTCAGTTGTACCAGCTACAATCTATTCATGGACAAGGGTGGCTCATTGTGATCAAACTGTGCCCAGCTGTCACAGGTCCCTGCATCACTGGGAATGGCTACCATATTTCTCAAGGCCCAGGACCCCAGGATCACTATCAGCACGACTTTCCACGGGGATTCCGTTGCGTTGATCTTATTCCAGGTGAACAATACTAAACACATCCGCCTGACCAACTTCTATAATAGCTGTTTTGTTTCAGCTTTCTCTGAAAAGACCTGTCATTTCCTCAACACACATGGATTTGGCAGCATGTCAGACTAAAACATCTCAGTGAATACTTTTGGATTTGAGTCTTCTGCAAATTCTGCCAAATAATTCCCTTCACAATCAGGAACGTTTATCTGCAATTTCACTTTCTGAGATGACATATTATGAAAAATTAAATAGCTTGGAAGGTAACCGCAAACTTTTCTAAAGTCTACTTATCAGAATATCTGAGATTAAGTCCTGGACGGGTCATCTAAAATTTGCCTTGATTTCCACTGCTGTGTTTAAGCCTAAGAGGCTAAAATGTTCTCAACACTGTATCTATTGTGATGCAAATGAATATTCTGCACAGTTGATAACAGAGGTGGCTTTTAGAACATCACATCTTCCTTGTCTCTTAGATTTCCTTCTTTTTTTAAGCCTTTAACTTCCTGAAGAACTTGTTTATTGAAGGTAATGACTATGGGGAAATTGGGCATAATGTAAGGGAAATAATTTGGGTTAAAAAAAGTATGAATGCTTGGTATAGTTAAAAATAATTCAGAACTGGTCCTGGGTAAAGCTGCCTCCAAGAAATTTCAAACAAAATGTGCAAGTTTTGAAGTGCCATAAAACAAGCTTATCAAATGAGCATGCATCATTGGCATCCAAAAGGAAGCACTTATAACAAGGGAATATTTCATCACATTTAGAAGCCAACAAACTAAGAGCAGGAGACAAAAGCACTAACTGGTCCCACTACCGTGAGCTCTTGGCTTTCACAGTTGGCATGCTTCTTCTGCTTCTCATTGAAGGATGGAACCCATTTCCAAGGGTGTGAGAAGCATGTCAGCAGAGAGCATCCATGCTAACACTAGCCCAAGTTGCCAGTAGCGATGTCATTGTTTAGATGAGCGGCCCTCCCTTTCACCTGTATGCAGACAAGCAAACTGCACTTCCCTATCATTGCGGAAGAGTTAAGATTCTGTTTTGGAAGAGTTGGTATGTCCCTCCGTACAGGGATTACAAATTCACTGGTTGAGCCCCTTTTAGGAGCTGCCTGTCTCTCACACCGCTCAAGTCCCCTGTCCCTGCGACCTTTAGGTTCATCTTCCAAGAAGCACTAGTTATAGGGTGAAAAAGCACCAAAGTGTACAGTCAGGTGAAATGAACTTTGTGCTGTGAGAGTGGTGATGGACCAAGCCACCCTGGACAAGTCTGTCGAAGAGATTCCTGTTTATTACTTATGAGTTTGGCAGTTCGAACAAACACGCTTAAAACCTCAGCAGTAATACTCTTGGGGGATTTGGATTTACTAATTGTCTTCATGGGGAACTGAATGCACCTGTCAATTGAAGGCAAAATAATAATAATAATATACGAAAAAATATTGTATGGCTCTCAGAGCTTAGGAGAATTCCAGCTGGACGTTTCCTGGCTGGGAACGTCATTTGGATGCAACTCTTCTTTCCTCTAGAGCGAAGGATCTGAAGAAGTAGTGGTCTTGAAGGTGACAGGATATTCCAGGGCCAGATACCCCAGTTTTTCTGTTCACAGCAGAGTCACTTTAGTTAGGTTTAGGGGCCAATCCTCATTTAGTCACTTGTAATGGCACACAGGTATCCTCATCCACAGTCTTAGATACGGCCCTCCCCGCCTGTGCACCTGGTCTACCCTGCTCTTCCTCTAAGGATTGCCATTGTTCTCATCATGCAACTTCACAACTGTTGGAAAAAGAAGCAGAAGCCAGTGGGTCGTTTTGTTGTTGTTGTTGTTGTTATTTGTTTGTTTTCTGTTTTTCTGTTTCTTTTTCCATAATCAATGGACCATTTTAGTCTGTTTGGCAGAAGCCATTCCAGACTAGAAAATTTTTAAGATATTTTTTTATCTGGATAAAATTCCAAATCTGGAAAGATGTTGTAGGAATAGTACCAGGGAAAACTCCCCAACTGGTTTTACCCAGACGGTGTACCTTTCCCTATTTGTTCTGTTTTATGTCACAAGCATGTGCAAGGTAATTCCGATTTCAAATGCTGATTGATTTACTGATTGATAGGGAACAAATTATTAACAAACAAGGGCCTGCTTGCATATCTATTTCATGTTGACATTACATGCTTTTTCATTTTTCTTAATCCCCAGTATTTGCCCATCAAAAGGGTTCAGGTTTTTTTTTTTATATATATAAAGAAAAAATGTATTTGTTTCTTAATTTTCCTTGTAAACACTTATTTAAGTTTATGTAATTGTGAGCCGGTAATTGTATTTTCTGAAGTTTTATAGTATTTTCCCATAAAGCATATTTAATCTTTTAAGACGCTGAAGTACAAAGCACTTTCCTACAGTAATTTCCTAGTTAGAGACTAGTTAACAATGATATTTTATTGCTGGAAGAGAGACAATTTAAAAAGTTGTAAACTAAGTCATTTCTCTGTGCTCCAACTACGACTTCAGTCTGTTTGTACTTCTAATACTTATTTCAAAACTATGATGTTCATCTCTTTCCTTGCTTTTACGTTAAGGTCTTTTAAATATTATATGCTTTTTCCAAATCAAACTCTGACAACTTTGTAGGTTTTTTTTTTGTTTGTTTGTTTTCTCAAGTTGGTCAGAAAACTTAAGCTGACATCAGGCAAAATAAACATCCAGCTCTAGACAAATGCTTAGAATTTTCCAGAATGAAATCACATCATCATTTGCTACAACGCTACTAGTGGTCTTGTAATACACATCACCAAGTTACTTCCACAAAAGTTTTTTTTTTTTTTTAACTCCACAGTATATGCTTAAGGAGACTGAAAGTTGGTGATTCTTACATATACACACGTGAGAATATTCGGCGTAAATACGTAAGAAAAAGTGGCCATCAGTAAAAAGGGAGAAGGAAAGAGGGAGGAAAGGGGGAGAAAGAGAAGAAAGAAAGGAAACAAGGAAGAAACAAAGTTCTTTCCCTTGTTGTTTTATGTGGCTCAGTGTGGCAATGGAAGTTGGCTGCTGAAGCAGGTTTTCCGTGTGTATGTGTGTGTAAGTGTGTGTGTGAGTGTGCACGGAAACGTTTTATATGACGGTAGGCTCCGTGGGTGCATACTGTATTCTCACTCTGCTTCTCACTAAATTAGAAGATTATTATTATGTTGGCAGGACATATACTAAAATTGGAACAATACAGAGAAGATCAGAATAGAACGTATTATTGCATGTTGTTCTAGGTTGCGTGTCGTTTTCCATCCTGAATATTTTGCTAGTAGGATACCTAAATGTAGTTTTAACTTGAAGATTTAAATATAAAATTTTGTATTTACAGAAGAACTATGCTATATTCATATTGCATCTAACCCCCTAATTGCTTATTTCCTTAAAAAGTGCAACAGAGAAAAAGTAACTCAGTATTTTGTTATAGATACTATAGTTAAAAGAGAAAATGTAACAAAATGCAAAATTGAAAAGTTGCAAGAACTTATGGTATCAATGACTAAAATTTCTACTGAAAAAGTTTTGTAAGGGCTGCACGATCACAAATACACATTAACCACCATCGCATTCCACCAGAGCACGAAACTGTGTTGGCTTCATCAGTTTGTGTAGCCAGCTACAATTATCTGATATATGTACAATGTGCTAACTTGTGAGTATGGGTAGTGACTTATAAAACCAGGATGTTCCCTCAAAAAGTAAATTTTTGAAGGTCCCATTTTTTTTTTTTAACGGCTGAATCGAAGGAATAACATCATAGTTTTTGGTCATGTTAAACGGGAGAAAGATCATATTGTGACTTAGCTCCTGAAATCTCACTACTGCTTGCTAGCTTCCTACAAACTCAAAGTGCATTCAGAGGCACTGCACAGCCTCCCAGGACAAACGCTATTCCACGACAGAGCGGTGCACTAATCAATTCCTGAGGCTTTGCCTAGGAAGTTGGCATTGCCATCATCCAAATCTTTCTTTTGGAAACACAGTTTCGAATTCGCTCCTTGTTCATAGGCATCCAGAAAGTAACAGATCCCAGGAATGTCACTGGGAAAGTTGGGTGGAAGTTCTTCTCTTGATCGAGGCGTAAACACAAAGCCAGGGCAATCTTTGAGCAGTCTGAAAAGATACAATATGATAATTCAACACTGTCATGGGTGCTTGCATAACAAAACCAACATCACTGGGAATACTCATACATCCGCTATTTAGATATGCGCTCAGATTTGCTATATAAATCAGAGTTCTTGAATCCATGTGCCCACGTCACAATGACAACATCCACTTACACCTGCCATTTAGCCTTGATGATCCCTGGCTAGCCTCATAAGCCTCTGTCCAAAACCCACTGATTCCACACTCTAACAAGATCTAACACAGTCACTGTAACTTGTGCTTATGTAGAATAGTGTCACCTAAAATGATTAAAAGGCGGGATGTGTAATGTCATTATAATGCTACATTATGAATCACTGATTCGAATTTAAAAGTGAAAGATTGAGGATAAGGATTTTTTTTTGGATCATGTATTCTCCTGTGTCCTAAATTTACACGTGTTTCATAAATATGTCAAAGATGTTGTATTTCATATTCAACAGGTAATTTTATTATCTGGGAAATGTCATTTTACGATTCATTGTATTAGCAACAGTTCTCTCTACAGAAATTACTTTCTCTCATTTTTTAGACTTTCTAGTAATGTCTATTCCTTGCCCTGAGTTTTGGCTGAACTTTAAATTACTAATTACACTCACAAGGCATGAATATCTGAATGAGATTTTAATTATCCATTCCTTTTAAAGCTTTCAAAACATATGACAAACAGGAAGTACCTCTGTAGTAAGGAAGAGTTTTAAAATGTCAGAAAACTTATTTTACAGGAAGTATTCATACCTTTCTAGAATAAACCACCACAGAACCATTGCTTGATCTTTAAACACGGTATATATATACAGGCCACAGGCTGGCGATTCCCCACCCTTGGGAGGTTTCGATGCCAGTCATATGTCACCATTCCATACTGGCTCCTGAGTGCAGCTTGAGAGGCAGTAGCTGATGGTGCAAATGACCGGGTTCCTATCACCCACATGGGAGGCACAGGTTGACCAGGGGTGGGCTGGGGTAGAGGGCTCCTGGCTTCAGTCATTACAGGCACTACGACAGTGAAGCAGGGGATGGGGGCTTCTTTCTCAGTCTTGTCTGTTGTTTATTCTCTTTCTCCCTTGCAAATGAACGAGTTATCCCCAAGAACAGGAAATACAATTTGCTTCACTCTGACAAAACGTTTGTATGCAAGAATTTTCTATCTACCAGAGAGTGGATTGGTGACTCTTAAAGATGCTTCAGTGATATCAAAATGGCAGGTTGCTCTGATTCAGGTGCCCACACAGCATGCTGTTGTGGACACAGTCAAATGGTGATTCTTCAGATGCTCATTGACTGTAGTCTCTCTTTTGCTATGTTAATGCCCGTTGGATGCAGGCTTTACCTCTGTAACCCTTGGGAAATGTGTAATAACCTGCTCATTTTCCCTGGAAAAATTCTTCCTTGTTGTTATGTAACAGGGAATTGGCCGGGCCCTGGCCACCAATTACAGGCAGGGATTTTAAAATCCTTGGAATTTCCTGAGTTGTAGGAATGTCTTTGTTTTCCAAGTCCCTTGCATCACACCTGAATTCAAGTTAAATGGATGACTCACAAACGGAACAGGCCACCAGAAAAGTCTACTGTGCAATGAAAAAGCTGGGGATTTGAGCCAGTCTGATCCATGGGCAGAGGAGGGGACTGTGTTAATTCACAAGGCCAAAGGTTCCATCAATCATGCCTACATAATGGAAACCAATATTATTGCTTGAATACCACAGCTCAAAGCTCAGCTCAGCAGAGCTTTCTGATTGGTGAACTCATTGATTCTAGGAGGGTGACACACCCAATTCCCTGGCCAGAAAAGGGTATGAAAGCTCTCCAAGACTCCTCCCCCAGGTCTTCCTAGACTCCAGTCTGCTTTCTCTTTGATTGACTGTTCTGGTCTGCATCTTCTATAACAAAAGTGTGATCAAAAGTATCATACTTACTTGAGCACCATGAATTATTCTAATCCCGGGAACTTCTGAATGTTTGCATCCATTCGGTCAAAAATATCAGTGGCACAAGGACCCTGAGAGTGTGGTTGATAACTATCCTTAATAGGACACTTTTATTGGAGACTGTTGCCTTACATCTCATGGTTATAACTGGGCTGATTCTGGATAGCTAGTGTCAGAATTATAGTGCAGGATAAGGATCAATGGCAGAATAGCTACCTACCTATGGGAATACTATGTGCACAGTTAAAGAGGAAAGATGGAAGAAGACAATGTTGTCTGTCAAGACACAGCTGGACTACAAATATCTCAGAAGCCCTCTCAACTTCAGTTGAAGATAATAAAGCTATTGTTTTTCTCTTTCCTGGATGACTCTCCAAGTCAAAAACTAGTCTGGAGAATTAATCGGATCCATGAGGAAAAATGACAATTGCACATAAATAAAAACAATATATTTCAGATGCATATCATTTCATTTGTACCTGTAAGTAGTTGGGCTGACATTGATTTTCCTTGGCACACTGCAGGACTCAAACTTGTTAGCCAGGGTGACATCGTTTCCAAAAAGACAATAACGGGGCATTTTAACTCCAACAACTCCCGCAAAAACAGACCCAGAATGCAGACCGATTCTCATCTGAAAGCAAAAGGTAACACATAGTTCCCCATCAGCGGTAAGCTACTTCCTGATTGTCAGTACTAACTTAAAGGCCCCGACGAATTGTTTTACCAAGAACTCTCACCACACCAGTCCCTTCCTCAAAACCTTCAGCCGACTTCCCTTTACTTCTCAAACGCAACTGAAGACGACCAGGACACACTCAGCAGTCTCCCTCCTGACGTTTACCCATATTTGAAGTTCATTACATAGAGCTTCTTTATTTCACCTGTTTTCCTACCTGAAGCCATCTCCCTACACAGCTCTCATAGTCACCGTGGCAACAAAAAGAATCGATGGACCATGTACATACACCTGCTCTCTCGCTAAACAGGAGTAGGCCAATTTTTCTGGACTCCGGGAGCTGTTGTCCAAAACACTCAGAGAAAAGGGTCTATGAATGTAATTTATAGGATGTATTAAAAGACCTTTAAAGACATTTTACATTAAAATAACTTTCTACCAAACATGATCACACTAAAACACGACTAATGACCAGGAAAAGATAGTCGTGATATTGAAACAGAACATAATAGAGGAAGGGGAAAGCTGTATCTACTTAGGCCTAAGTGACTATCAATTCACATTACCCTAAACTCTAGAACCATGTACCACCACAGTTGTCCTAGCTGTGGATGTAAGAAGCTCTCTGGGATGTGCTGGGGTGATCTTGTGCAGAGCCAGGAAACAGAATGGTTGAAAATCAGTCCTCTAGAAGATCCGATTACTTTAAGGCAGCGACTTAGGCTGAATAGAGTGTTGGCTATTGGAATCTTGGAAGGGTGAGAGGAATTTGAATTTCAAAAAACAGGGAAATACATACATTTCTACACATCGAAAAACAATGTGCTATTAATTCTCCTGCCCCAAACACACGTGTTTGAATTATGAAGCCCATTTATGTGGAAATCACTGGTTTCCCTCTCAATTATCTCAGCATTTTTTGATAATTATTTTGATGCTCCCTCACAAAATACTAGAAAGTCAGAGAAAGACAAAATTCTCCACTAAAAACTCCAATGATCAAAATCTAGTCCAGTAAAGTTGCATGTAGGGCTTTGTTCACGTGGTCCAAGTTGTTTCGCACTGTTCCTTTTGAGACGCAGGGTCTAAGGCCCTCTTTCTCAGGGAAGCTTTTATAATTGCTATGATCAACAGGATGCAGCCAAGTGTCAGCGAGCATCATCCAAGACAAGGACAAAAAAGGCTATGTAGCTTTCATCCGTCTTGTCCACTGAGATGAAAGCCCCCATGAGCTCTCTCTTTCACTGAAAGTCTCCCTTCCAAACAAATACATAAATATTTTCCTTTCATTTCCTCTCTCCACATTTTATAACACGCCAGATGGTATTCAACATGACTCTGAAAGCTCATTTCTGAAGGTCATCCCTTTACCACTGCTTTACAAAGGTGACAGAAACTATAAGTAGAACAAATAAAGGACCAAAAAAAACTCATGTTTTTTTTTTTTAAAACCAATACCTGGCATAACATTTTTAAACTTTATTTCCTTACATGTGTGAAAAGATCTTTGGGTCATCTAAAAATATTGATATGTTATGTGCCTTGGAAAGTACTGGTACTTCAGTGATAATATCTTTTTTAGAATATTTTCCACTCCTGCAGACAGCGACCAACAAATAGCTACATTTCCCAAACTGCTGTGTGGCACCTAGGTTTGCTGAATCCAATCTGCTTACATGGTATTTGCATGACTGTGGAAGCCTTGGGGCTTTCTAGGTTATATTTAGCAGAGCCCATTTTCCAGTGTATGCCCCATAGTCAGTTCTTTCCTGTTTAAATGAGTTAGAGAAGATATCACACTCCACCACAAAACTTCTATGCACACATTACTGTTTGGATAGTCATTCAGTAACCCTTTACTTCCCTGCCACCTCTTGAATGGGTTATCCTCAGCCTCACCTTGATAGGTTCTCCGTGAGGAGACATGACCTCATCAGAAAGTTCCATCATTTTCAAAGCCATGAGTGCGATCTGCACAGCATGAGTGTCACTCTCCCTGTGCAACCCACCAGCCACACAGTAGGCATCCCCGATGGTCTCCACCTGGGCGAGAGATATTGTCCGTATTAGAAATGAGGACACAGGGAGGATCTTTGCACACATCACACATCATGCAGCAGTTAGAAGGTTGTCAGTGCTTAGTCTCTGTGGAGAGCCAGAATACAGAAATATGCAGAACCACAGCTCAAAGATGGGAGACAAGAAAGAAAATGAAATGAAGCAAAAGCCCTGGCAATAAATAAAAACATGAAATGAAATAAAGGCCTTAGAGTAAATAACACTGACTCCTGCTGGAAGCTCTCACACTCCGTGGATCAGCCTAGGGAGAGACTTTTCCACATCGATTCTTTCCTATTTAGTTCAGCCAGATCTAGATCTTCTCAGAAGCAGTCAGGAATGGAGAGAAGGCTGGAAATGAGGATGGGGAGGGAAGGTGGTTTCCAACCAGCTCCTCTTGGATTCAGCGGGGGACTCTGGGGCTGCTGTTCTTGTGGTAAGGAGTACAGTTCCAAAAGAGTTGATAGGGTTTGTGGAAAACTCCACCCTAAAGGCTTGAGAAGAATCGTGCAAAGGAGAAGGCTGTGTTGCCCGCAGCCTCTGCAGCTGGCCCAGGAGTGGGGCGCGGGGGCACTTCCTGCTTACAGCTCTGAAACAGGAGACTATCTGCAAACAAATGCAGCAAATTCCATAAGAGGCCATCAAATCTAATCTAAGGGAAGCCAATTATTTTTATCTGTAATTATCCATGGGCCTCTTTCTCCCCCACCCCCAGGGAATCATGGCTGTGTCTGGAATTTCCTGTTAGAAATGTTTTGTAGGAAGGGTTTACATCTAAAATCTAGAATGAAAAAAAAAGTGGCAAGGATTTATGTATTCCCATAAATCATACTTGTTTTCTCCTCAATATTTTATTTATTTCATGTTGAGTTAAGCTCCGGAATGCCAGATTGTTCTGCGGCAAATTAAGCAGATGACTCAAGCCAAATGAGAAACACGCTTTATTTTTAATGCCAATATTGAAAACAAAGGAAAATAATTTGAATTGTCCAAAAATGGCTTTTTAATTCTAAAGAAGCAGGTTGAGTTTTAAATCTCTTCATTTTCTCTTTTCCTAATAATACTTACATAACAAAAAGAATGGCATATGGCAACAGGAGCAGTCACTGCTTAGAATGGGATAAGCGCTCAGTATATCCTGGATGCCTGGTCCATGGTCCATGTTATCTAACACAATGTTGATACTAACTACTCTCATCTCTGAAGACCATGGGGTGCACTGCATATTATTCACACATTTTAACTGTGGATATTACTTTCTGGCTATAAAAATGAGAAAGATTATTTTGCTTGCACAACTTTCAAAGCAAGTAAAATGGAGAGGGACAATTTGAAGACAAGTCTTTTCTATTTAAATGTCTCCACCACTGCTCAGAATGCAACTATTTCTTAAATAGATGATTTTGATTTTTGTTAACCAGACATGAAGCATATCATGTTAATTCTGTACCGCGTTGTTCCACTTGAAGAAAACGTGTATAAACTTCCATGCTTATTTTTATAGATACAAAGGATAAAGTTTCCCTCTTGTAATTCATACCTTAAATTGTTTCATGATTAATGAACCAGCACAGTCAAGTGATTGGTCTACTGACTGTCACAACGTAATCCCACAGCAGACTCTACACCCCATCCTCTTGTCCACTCCTTCCATGCCCGGCTCATTCTTTGAGCGGACAAAGTGGCAGCCCTACTCCTCCCTGGTGATGGCTAACTTGACCTAGTGGAGAAAGCCTCTGCATCTGCATTATAATTCAAATTCAAGGTCAATGCTGCTTCCTTGGTGCACCCGTTTCCCTGCTCCATGCCTACCTTGTAGACATCCAGCTCTCCACACTGCCGGTCAAAGCGAGTGTAGAGAGCATTGAGCATGGTGATGACCTGCAGTGGCGAGCACTGGGAGCAGATGGCCGTGAACCCCACAATGTCTGAGAACAGCATAGTGACGTTGCCGAACCTCTTGGCCGGCACCACCTGCCCTTGCCACAGCTGCTGAGCCACCTCGGAGGGAAAGATGGAACACAGGAGATCCACGGTCTTTTTCTTCTCCTCCTCCAGGGCCTGGTGGGCTTGCTCCAGGGTGGCCTTCAGCTTGCCCAGCCTCTTCTTCAGGCCATCTTGAGCTCGGGCTTGTTCCCCTATCAAGACCACATCCCTCAGTGCGTTGTGAATCGGGATGTCCGATAGGTAGAGCCCACGTCCTGTGAAATCTTCCAGTCTATCCACGCACGGTGACCCCAAGAACAAGATAGCACTGGATTCCACGAGGTAGATCATTTGGCCTTTGAGGTCCATAATCTGTGAAGTAAACGTGAACGGATTTGTTGTGATTCAGTCGAGTTTCCTACACCTTCTGAGACACAAGATGAAGAAGTTGATAACAGCAAACATTCCTTTGTAGCTACACTCTATTATTTCAACAATATAAAAAATGCTATATTTTCTTATAGGTATAATTTGTCCTACATTCTAAAATACATACAGACGTTTGAAGAGCATCCCAGAGAATAATCTTTGCAGATGTCAGGATTTGCAACAAACAACAAAAAGTTCTTGCTTCAAGCACCTCTCATTCAGCAGCTTGCTGGTGTGTTTGCTGCTGTATTCTTTGGATATTCCCTTTGGGTTAATCTGCACGTGTTTTCCGGATAATTCTGTCCTCAAGAAATATAGTCTCATGTTCTTCCTTTTTCCTTGTGCTCTGTCACCCTCTCTTACCCAGACTTCCTCCCCTTCTCCCAGAAATTACTTACACTGCATTTCGGAGGTATGGGAGTTTAAAAGCTTCCAAAGCACCCTCTTTTAGCCCAGTACTTGCTTTTCTATCTTGAGTGGCTCCCCAGGTAATACTGATGACAAGTCATCATTTTGCTAACAAGAGGTCATTGGATCTTACGGGAGAGGTTGCTTTCCCATTTCATCTTTGTACCTAACTCTGCCCTCCACAATGCAAGCTGAAGAACAAATTAATGGAAAGAATTGCTCTCGTGGGGTCTTGGAAGTGGATCTTGAAGTGATCATTCTGGGCCACAAAAAGATTTATCTGGATGTATGCAGATTACATGGGCAGGCAGGTTCACTGTAGCAGAAAGCCAAATGCAACTGAAATAGTTTGCAGTAAGCAACTGGTTAAAGTTGCACACATCATACAATGGAATATCACAGTTCCTGCAAAATAGTGAAAGGAACATCCACAGAATGATAGACAAAGATATCCAACACATATTGCTTAGTGATAAAAAAAAAAAGGAGGTTAGTATATGGGATAGCATGGTAAGCCACTGCTTATAGTGCTGGCATCCCATGACACCTGCTCCGCTTGTAATTCAGCTTCCTGCTAATGCACCTGGGAATGTAGTAGAAGGTAGTCCAGGCATTGGGACTCCTGCCATCCTTATGCTTCCAGCTCCTGCCTCTGCCTGACCCAGCCATAGTAATTGGGGCCACTTGGAGAATGAAACACTAGATGAAAGATCCACCTCGCTTTTTCTGTCTCTTTCCCCCTCTCCTATGTTCTACTTATGCTACAAATAAATAAACCTTCAGAAATGGGAACGTAACAAACTGTAAAAGTAGAAGCTGTGAATATTATTTTTCTGTTTCAATCATGGTGTATATACCTCACCGTTTTCACTTTCTGTTACAATGATGTCTTGAAGTAGTATCCTTTTCTCTCTCTTTTTTAGTCATCGAGATAACATTTTATAATACAAAATACTGTAGTTGTTTGCCTTTGGGGAAAGCACTCAGAACTTCTTTCAATGTGACGTGTGTGTGTGACGCCTCTCTCTCCATTTTGCTTGTATCATCAACTACCACTTAACAAAACTTTCTCTCTTGAAACTAAATAATCAGCAAAGTTTTCTACCCTGAGATAGCAAAGTTAGTCTTTCTCCACATTCTGTTAGAATTAATTAAGCAAATAAGGTACTTCTTAAATCTAGTGAATACTACAGCCTTCCTAGCACTTTCTAAGTCTAGTTAATACTACAAACCCGTCTAACACTTTCTAAGTCTGGTAATACAAGCCCATTTTCTGATAAGCAATCAGTAACTTTGGCTTGCTCATGATGAAACAATACCTGTTACTGCTCAGATTAATTTAACTTTCTGATCATAGTTGGAAATACATTTTCTATAAATATGTATTTCATTTAATTACAAAACATGCCAGTGGGTTTCAGAACACAGGATGCTTTCGATAAACACTCATGGAGCAATGACCCCTGTAGGCAAGCAGATGCCAGTCTTACGATAGTTTTGAAAGGTCACACTGCATAAAATCAATACTTACAATGTAACAGATCAAGCCAGCAAATAATTAAATGAGAAAGGAACTTCTGAAAGTTTAATTTGACCAAAAACTTACTTTGCAGTGGTTTTAAGCCATGCATGCTTTCCCAAAAGCCTTTGAAGTGATGCATTTGAGGGAAGTTCCAAAAATTCACGGAAAGTGGAGTTAAAAGTTGTTTATTTTGGTGCCAAAAAATTCCGAAATCTATGTAGGTTTTTTATGAACCCATTTTCCATGAACTTCTGTGAAATCTTTCTCCCGTCTTTTTACTTTTTCATTTCTGATCCTTGCTTAGATATCTATGATCAAGTTTTAAACATCAAGATAACATTTTATAATACAAAATAATGCATTTTATAATACAAAACAATGTTTTCCTTACCCGGGAGGATTTCTTCACAGAATTGTCCCACCGCCTCACACGTACAATGAACTGCATATTCAACATGGTCATGATCCCACTGAATGTTTGGTTGATTTTTGGAGTCAGGACTTCAAAATACTCGTCAAAATGAGGCTTTCCTTGGAAGTCCCTCCTGTTCATGAGCCTTCGGATGCCATTGCCGAACTGCAGGATGACCATCTCTTTGTCAAACATGAAATGAAACGGAAATGTCTTACAGAAGAGCGAGGCAGGGATGACCAGGGAGGACTGAGGCTTGCCCGGGGACAGGGACGGCCTCGTGTTCTTCACGTGGACAGAATAGAGCAGATAGGGTTGATTGACAAACTCGGTGCAATCGTTTCGGAACGTGGGCGGCAGTAACGCCACCTCCACTTGGCTTTCGTACAGGATGTGAGCGGCTGCTTTAATGATGCCAGGGAGGACAAGAGCCGTGGCTTTCTTGGGGAAGAAGTAGTAGACATCGAGGAAGTCGGGGTCCTTATCCAGGCACAGAATGGATGCGTCCTCCGGGCCGCCCCTCTTTTCGGCTTCTGGGCAATGGCTGCTCTGCTTCAGCAGGGTACTGAAGCTGTTGAGGAAATCTTTGAGGGTGCCTCCCACCACACCAAGGATGTGTTCGTCTTCCTCATAGCAGATCTTAAAATGCTCTTCCCCCAGGGACTCTCTGAAGACCTCCACGGGCAAGCCTGAAAGCATAAACACATTTGAGAAGCAGATCAAGAACCTCAACTGCATCGACTTGGTGGCTCTTTGCTGTTGTTATTCGCATCAGCCACAGACATTAGCTTATACTCGGCTAACTCTGCAGTCAAGTCTCAAATCAGGACACTTTTGTTTGTGTAAATCGTGCTATTTTTAACTTCCATTACATTTAACCAAAAGAGAACTATCTGAATTGCAGGATGAAGTCCATATTAGAAAAAGGACCGCTATGTTTCTGGCAACAGTCAGAACGGTCCAGCTTCACAATGGCGGGACTGTGTAGCTCACGAGGCCCCCCATAACATCAGCGTCACACCCGGAAAAGCAATAGCTGTTTAGAGAGGATTTTCTAACTTTTTTTTTTTTCTGAGATTTTGTATTACTAGTCTCCTGGATCTGAATATCTTGTAATTTGAAAAAATGTAACTGTTTGATCCACATAGTGAAATTTTGGAACAGGACATTCCAAAAATCACTCATTGATTTCCCTCCCCCAATTAATTATTAATGTGAGAGCACCGTCAAGCTCTTTCCACAGGATTGTCATCAAGTATTAAGAAAAACAAAAAGATGGGCCCGGCGCAGTGGCCTACTAGCTAAAGTCCTCACCTTGAATGCACTGGGATCCCATATGGGCACTGGTTCTAATCCCAGCTGCCACACTTCCCATCCAGGTCCCTGCTTGTGGCCCGGGAAAGCAGTTGAGGATGGCCCAAAGCCTTGGGACCCTGCACCTGCCTGGGAGACCCAGAAGAACTCCGGGATCTCGGCTTCAGATCGGCCCATCACTGGCTGTTGCAGTTACTTGGGGAGTGAATCATGGGACGGAAGACATTTCTCTCTCTCTCTCCTCCTCCCTAAATATATCTGCCTTTGCAATAAAAATAAATAAGTATTTTTAAAAAATGGAAAAAGAAAAAATATTATTTATTTTACTATGTGGGGTAGAATTTTTTTAATGCAGAAACAAAGCATACTTAGGTTCAAGACCAAAGCTGGTGAGTCTGTTTCCCTCTAAACTTATCTGCTTCTCAACAGTAACATTAAAAGTGGAAATGTTTTTACAACAAATAAAATACGTGTGTGTGTGTGTGTGTGTGATAAAGCAGTCCTCTTTACATTCCTATCACCAGCAACCTATAGAATAGTTTTGAAGAAAATCTTACTTCTACAGGAGGAGGATACACTCACTCACGTCACAGCTTTAAACAATTCCTTTACCTGCCGCGGTTGCTTGATCAGCAATGATTGTTTCAAAGTCGTCTCTTTCCGAAGATTTCCTGAAATTAGTTGGACATGTTTAGTTATCAACTGCCAGAAGAGCGTCTCGGATCATAACAGAGAAGTGGTCATAGAAACTCATTGGAATAACCTTTTCTGTCCAGGAAAATCTCCACTACCAAGCCTACAGAAAAAGGCCTGTGTCAAATACAAACCAAGACAGTGCTGAAAGACCCCAAAATACACAGCACACAGAGTGTTCCACCCTTACTGATAAAGCAGATTCAGCTTTGGGGGTGTCTGTGAAGGAACGAGCAGCACTGTGCTCTTGCAGCAGCAAGGACATAGGAATTACAGCGATCAAGACAAGGACAGGAATCAGCTCAAAGGGTTGTCTGACCGTTCCAGGAACCAAGAGAAGCTACAAACACATGGATGTATCTTTTAAATATCACTTTCTAAAGCAAATGGAAGTCTTTGCTTTTCAGCTTAAGGTTTTATGACGGAACTTCGAAAGTTTCATGGAAAAAAAGACTCAACAGAGAGATTTGTTTTGGCATCAATTTATACACATGACATATTCAAATAGCTCGAGGAAAATGTGCATTATAAACCAACCAAGCATGGATTTCAAGGATCTTTGCACCAAGAAAAAAAAAAATAACTTTCTATTTCATTTTTTTCCATGAACCGTTAAAAATAATCTTTTACATGATTATCTCTCAGACATAATTACCCTAAACATTTATCTTTTGTTTTGCATTAGAAGTAGAAACAAAAGAAATCTTTTGTTTAACCAACTGCTACATTCATTCCTTCAACATAGAAGTCGATAAATCAGCAGCAAGTTTTTTTGAATTTCGGTATTTTCAACTGAACAATTTGTTGACTAAAATTTAGCAAATTGTTTTTCTGATGATTTCTGACAATGATTGAGAATAAATATACCAGCTCATTCAAGTTACTGAAGGACATCCCTATTTGTGATTCAGTTTGCCTTTAGACAAGCCAAGTTGATAAACACATATACAACTGAAATTTTAAGCAGATTTCAATAAAGCATGGAGCATGATAAGAAGTTTTAGAGGCAGTAAAGAAGAAACATTCAGAAGAAACATTGTCTTACCTACATTCATTGAAGAACACTATATAAGAATCAGTTTTGATTTAGAGATTTTTTTTTAAAAATCCCTGGATGAATATATTTTTCTATATTAATCAGTCTTCTTTTCTCATTTAAATGAGTTCTATTTCTTCCTAGAGGGAGAACAAATCTATTCAGGGAACGCGCTGTCACGTTGCCATTCTCCAGGAATCGTGGAAGGAGATGTGAGCCATGTTTAGCCAGTCAAGCATCTCACAGCTGAACTCCACCCTCAACCGGCACAAGCGAGCACGCAGCACATGCTTGCGACTGCTCTCTCTCACTCACTCACTGTGATTGCACAAGCCTGATATGATCAGAATACACAAGACAAAAAGAGAGAGAGACAGAGAGAGGGAAAAAACTAAACAAAGCTTTCTGGGCAACCAATCCCAGTGATACCATCATGAATGTGGAAAAAAAAAAAAAAAAAAAAGAACCAGAAGAGAAGCGACTCAATTCCTTCATTCAAAGGCAGTCTGTTTTGTTTTGATAGACTGCTTGCTTGTCAGGTCAGGTCAGACATTAGGCAGCAGAGCAGTGGTGGATGAAAGGGGAAAAAAAGAAATGGCAGCTGACTCACAGACAGTGGGAGAAAAACAAAGGGTACCCAAGAATGAAAAAGAGCCAAGACAGGAGGCGCAATCCAGAATACAGCAGCAGCAGTCCACTGGACCGGAAGCTCGTCTCAGACACCGGATAATTATCACCTGCGCTGTTCAACCACACGATTGGCCTTTTTCCTTTCATAAATCAGGAAATGGCATATTTTTGGAGATTTACAAATAAGAGGATTGCTATTTAAGTTTTGAGATTTATGTATTTTTTTTTTAAAAAACTACACTGCTGGAAATATATTCTGTAGGAATGTTTTGGTTACAAAACCCTGGGAATTCATTTGAGTGAGCTGGCTGGCAAGGACTTGTGGAGACAGTCTCAGTAGCACAGCGAGGATGACTCGTGGCTATCTTATCAGCCTGCCTAAGAATTAAGGTCAGAGGCATTCTGGAACGCTTTCTTCATCACTCATGTAAACAAAGATTCTGCCAAGCACACAGATTTGCACTCTCTGCTTCTGGACACTCTGTGACCCGTTCCTGGCTCCGTCTTGCTGCCTGTCGCTGGAGTCTGGCGACTCCGCCAGGAAAACGTAAGCACGCATAATCCAGAGATACTCATCTACTCAAAAGTAAGGGACAGATGAATGAATGTATGACGCATCCCTGACAATAATGTTAGTCTTGAAACATGAAGGTTTAGTTCTACAAATGTGAAGCTATTTCAAAAAGCCTGTAGTCAAATTTAAAAGACAAGTTTATTCGTGAACTTTTTCAAGACTTCTCCTATGTATTATCTGAAAATTAAATAATTTTTTTGTGTGCTTTACAACGTGTTTACTCATTGAAAATAATTCTTGAGATTCACAAACTGACAGAACTGAGGGTGAGCAATTCACCTCCTGAAAAAGACATCATTAGGAATTCCACATATTAGGGCTAGCGTGGTGGCATGCTGTGTTAAACCATTACCTGGAAGGCTGGCATTTCATATGGACAACAGTTCCAATCCCCACTGTTCTATTTCCTGTTCAGCTCTTTGCTAACATTCCTATTACCACAGCCTGAGTTCAGCTGCTAGCTCTGGCTCCCAGTTTAGGCTTCTGGCACACCATGGAAGGCAACAGATGAAGGCTAAAGTAGTTGAGTCCCTGACACCTGTATGAGGATCTTGGATTGATTTCCCTGCCCCTGACACTGGCTTGAACCTGTGCCCTAGCTGTTAAGTATATTCAGAACATGAGACAGCAAATAGGAGCTCCCTTTTTGTCTCTCTGATTCTGGAATAAATTTCTTGAAATATTGATTTATTTGAAAAGCACAATGACAGAGAGAAGAAGAAAGAGAGAGAAGGAGTGAAAAGGACACTTCATTTTGCTGGTTCATTCCGCAAATGCCTCAATAGCCACGGCTAGTCTGGGATCTTATCCAGGGGACCATAACTCAGTCTGGGTCTCCCGCATGGGCGGAAGTGATGCACAAACTTTTGCCATTTTCTGCTACTTTCCAAAGCACATTCACAGGAAAGTGGCTCAGAGTAGAATGGACAGGACTGAAACGGGTGCTCAGTTTAACCTACTGAGCTCCAATGCCAACCCGAATTAGTTTTCAAAACAACCCACAGAGAAAAATCGAATTATTTACCAGTTTGTGAGGATGTCAAATTATTTTTTGGGGAAAAAAAAAACAACCTTGTAATCAGATTATTTCCAGAAAAATCACAAAGCTGGAGTATAAGAAAAGCAAGACTTAACAGGGCTGATACGCACAGCTACAGTCCAATCGGTGATGAGAATGAGCAGCTGCTGCCGCATGCCCAGAAGTGTCCTGTCCACCAAAGTGTGCACCTGCTCCCGATGAGTTGTCTGTGGTTTAGCACACCGGTGAGAGATGTGTACTGCATAGGGAGGGGAGCTTTGCCCCTGGGCCTCTGGGTATTACTCAGGCATGGAGTCTTTCCTGGTTTTGGAGGAAATCCATGCCTTACCTGTTGGCAAATATTTTTCAAATTCTCTCTTTGTATGGGAAGAAGATGAGACCCTGTTCAAGACAGACCAATATACGGCAGCATAGTGAAAACACAGTGAAAAATTATGGTTTGGATTTCAGCTCTGCCTTTTTCTATACAGCTATAAACTCCTAAACACCGGGGAAGTGAAGTTTTGAAATCCACTGGAGTGTGTAAACGAAACACACTTACTTTAAAATTGGCAGCAGTTAAAACCCATAGAGCAGTGTCCTGGTCTCTCTCTCTTTTTTTTCCTATAATGCATCCATAAACGTTGATAGGTCAGTGAGTCTTGGCTGCTATTAGCAGAGTTCGTAATTCTGCTAGGAGCTACGCCCCAAGTGGTTTGACTTACCTGATCTCTCTTATTTTATGCTTTGCCAATGTTCTCTGGAGGGCAAGGTTCAATCGTTCAAACTGAAAAGTGAAAAGACATATTTTAAGCATGTCCCTAAGTGGTAATTATTGAAAACTCTGCATTTGTAAAAGTCATCCCGAAGGACACATTATTACTTCAAGAGTGAGGGCAGTAAATTTTGAAACTGCAACAGACTTTCTGTTTATTTGTTTTCGTTTTCTTCAAACAGCGGAGGCAGCATCAGGGTCAGAGGAATTTGCTGGGTTGTGTATTGTGGCCACAGATCTGGACTGCAGAGCCATCTCATAGACGGCCTCAACACTTGATCAAACTGTATCAGAATCCAAACAATGGACTTTAGGCTGGTTACAGCAGCGCTTCCATGATGAAGGCCTGCTTGTTCATTTATTTGAGATGAGTATTTTGTTTACCTCAGCTTGTATTAGCTAGTGATTTTCACCAAATACTTGTGTTTTACTCTTTTCAGGGTTTTAGCTTCTTGCTTTGTAAAAACTGTTTATTTGTATGTACGTCAGCTTGCATACTTCCTAAACACGGCTGACCTCTTCTTAATCTTCCTCTAGAGTTTTGTCTGTTACTCATTATTGATATGTGGGAAACAGCATTGTTAACTAGTGCTGTCAATTTGTTTTTGCATTCCATAAAAATAATCAGATGTCTTTCTGGGTAAGTAGATACTCATTTATTTCGTTGTCCCCTAACTAGTGAATTGAAAAATCTTCTGACTTCCAAGTTGAGAAACTGCTTTTTCTTGGAGGACATTTGTATCTCTCAGTTCCCACTAGTCAAGTGATGCAATGGAATGAAGAACAACAGATCAAGATTCACTTTCAAAGCAATGAGTTAAAAAAAAATGGATTTGCAGTTTTAACAATGCATAAAGCTAAATGAAGAGATTTACAGTTTTCAAGAGAACACTTGGTTGCTGAAGATAAATGAATGACCATTTTAAAAGTGGAACACTTTTTCTGAGTCTTCCAGGTTTGGAAAGGAAAGATTCAGGGCCCGGGTAAAGGAAAGGCTCGTAGGAGACAGTCCATTGCACAGTCTGAATAGGCCGTAGAGGGTTATGTGAGGGTAAGTAGGAAGCCTGACAGACGAGGGAGTCTCATTTCCAAGCACCGCACCTTTTTTGCGTCAAGAATTAAAGATAATGCTATTTTGATAAGACTATCAATGAGATGGGTCAGTCAGCATGCTTGCAAAGTTTGAATTTCTCAATAGCCTCCTGCTCAGCGACTGATTATTCTAGCATTACCAGTCTTTGAGTATCAGTGGGTACATACATCCATGGAACCGGGAAGATCTGCAAGCTATTTCAACCACTGAAACGTATTTATGTGGGAAGCAACAAGCTAAATGGAAGGCCAGCACAGCGGCAACAGTGAGCCAACTTGGCCCCCGTGACACTGTGAGAAGGAGTTGGAGTGCCTGTGAGGGTCTCTGCTAACACACCCAAGACAGCAGCAGGAAATGGCCCGAGTGCTTGAGCCCTTGTACACATGTGGGAGGTCTGGATGGAGCTGGGCATGCTGACCTCCGCCTAGCCCAGCTCCAGATGCTGCAGACATTTGGAAAGGAAGTCAGTGCAAAGACGATCTCGCTCAGTCTTCTTCCCCCTCCCCACATCCCCACACGATCACTCTGACTTCTAAACAAATAGACATTTAAAAATGGCACGTCATTTTGGTGCAAGCAATTTTGAATTGGATGCATACTTCTTTATGGCCATACATTTTTCACAAACTTTCTGAAGTGCCATCCTGTGTCCAGAACTCTTGACTAGTACCCACACTCTGAAGACACTCTGTTCACGTGCATTATCATGGATAAATATATCATAAATAAATAGTATTTCTTCTGTTGCCAATGCAGTGTCTTAAAGGCTGAGCCTATACAATTTATCACAGAAATGATAGAGCTAAGTAGAGAGATGTTACTGTCTTAGTTTCATAATTTAAATGATACCTCTTTTCATGGAATTGCTGATCTAACCAAAGACTTCGATGGACACTAACAAATAACCCCTCTGTCTTCTTCACCTTCTTGGTTAAACCATCTGGTAAACTACATTTTTTTAAATCTCTCTCAGTAAAGATCCTCCTTCATCTTTTATCTTCTCCCTTTTGAATCCAGCAGGTTTTTTATGTTTTTTTTTCTCCAACTAACATATATGCTACCAGTGTTAGAAGGAAACAGAGCCTGTGTCTCGTGCTGGAGTTAGCGGAGCAGATGTCCTAGATTTCCATTTTTATCAACTACTTACTTTTCCTAAACCAAAAAGAGATGAGGAAATGTCAAATAGAAGAGGTGCTATGCAAGTATTAGTATGATACTTGAATGATTAAATACACACTAAAGTAGACTCTAAGACCCTAAGGAGAATCTGTGAGTCACAGCGGAGACACCTGTTCCTAAAGGCAAAGGAAATGCTGCTCTTAAATTTGAATCCTGAACAGTGGCCTTTGCCCTGATGGATGAAGGACAGATATGTGTTTACTGTTCTAAGATGTGTTTGTCTTCTGTGCACTTATAAGAACACCTAGGGACTAACTGTTATTTGAAGCAACGTTGCTGTGTATTCTCTGGATTTTGATGGGCAGAATTTCATTGGTATGTCCTAGCAACAAGTAAATACTTCAGCTGATTCTGAACTTTATGCAGTCTTAATATTTCTCAGACCAGTGAACTATCAACGAATATATCATGTCATATTTTCTCTCGGCAATCCAATAGTTTGGAACACATTTGGGGTTTTGATGATTCTCTTCAGATCCTCAGAGTCTCATCTGCTCTTTGATTTGTGGAAGTGCCATTTACGTATGCATAATCAATTTAACTAATTTCTTTCCATAAACAGGTTCTTATTTGCCACAGGAGTGGATAACAGCCGAATGCAAGCTTCTTAAAAAACACTCTGCATGAGAAGCCGACAGGATTATCAGCAGTAACAGCCACAGAAGGCAAGCAAACAACATTATCAGAAAAATCAGCAATGAGTGAGATGTGCAAAGTTTTCCATAACGTGAGTTATACTTCTATTTTAAACAAATGATGTAAATTTATGTGCCTCAGTTTCTCTGCACAGAAACTAAAAACTCTGTACTCAGTGACCAATAAGACCTCTTACTACTGAAATATCCCAGTGTCTTACGATGACATTTTCTACGATGACTTGTTACAGATACGGAATTTGAATACTTGCCATGACCCTTCAAGTACCTAGTTTGATATTAAATCTTGTTACCTAAAAGCGTCCCTAGGATGCCACAAATACTATTTTGAAACCCTTTCTTTGAATTGTGGACAACCCTGAAACTAAACAGTAGGCTACATATTTGATCTGTCAACATAAAAAAAGAATCAGGGATGGGGGAGAGGGTGTTTTTCAAACACAGGCAAATGTTTGAACAATGAATGAACTCGTCTAGATGAACTGCTACAGTGTTCACACGTATTCAGCACTGGGACATTTACTATCATAGCAGAGATGGCCTCAGTTGGAAAGGAGCCGCAGTAATTAAAGTCAAACGTATGTTTCTGCTTTCTAGATTTTCCACAGCCTTTCCTTCCTGGCTACAAGACGCTGTGGTCAAGCCTTGAAGAGTTGTCGATGAGTTCACAAACAAACAATACAGCTTGATATAAATAAAGTAAAATATAGCTTAATTTTGGTACTCCCTTCTGGCTTTTCAGGACATTCCCTGGAGGACAAAGACAGGGCAATTTACAATGGTCTGCCTGTCTCCTGCAGACTGGGGCAGGAAACATACTCCTGTAACTTCTCCCTCAGCAGAGAGGGAGAGGCTAGGGCATCAATATTAAAGGTCTGAGAGACTCCTAGAAGTTTTAATTGGGCTAACTGGGGAGACTATTGCCTTGGTCAAGCCAGTCTGTGAGACTGAAAGTGTTGGTAACTTCTTCAGCTGTGTAGAAGCCACAGCTGTGGCACACATGAAGAACCAGAGAAACGTGACACCGCCAAAGCAACAGAATAGAGTTCCATTAATCAATCCTAAAGAAATAGAGAGCTGAGGACTGACTGACAAGTAGTTAGAAATAAAACTATAAATAAGCACCGTGAGCTATAAGGCAACACAACAACTTCAGTCCTGAAAACACAAATGAATAAAATGAGAATTTCATCAAATATAATAAAATCTTACAATGCAAGAATGCGGCAGCTAAACTGAAAAACTTACCAGAGAACTATAGAGATATTCAACAACATACTTGAGCACGTACAAACATCAGGTAAAACTAAGACAGATTTGTATTATCAAGTCAGAAGAGGAGAAGAAAGAATGTAAAAAGGGAATGAAAGAGAGAGAGGGCAAGAGAAGCCACTAGAACACCATCAAGTGAACCAGAATATTTTAATAAGAGATTCCAACATGGGCATTATGTCTATTGTAGGAATCCAAAATTTATAAAGCAAAATAACAAAGTTAAAATGGTAATGATAGGCTTCTGGAAAAGCATGGAAGCTACCCAGCTTGTCCACCATCACAATCTAGCTAGACGATGGCAACCACAGGCTCATGCATGACTCAGACCCATGGGACCAGGTCAAGAGCACAGAGAACCTGACTCATTAGCATTATGGAAATTTTGTCGTCCATAAATTGGTGGACCACATAGGATGGTGTTTGAAATCAAAAGGGGAGAAGTGGGATATGCATTATTCTTCAACCGATCTAATTTTATCTTTTAAAGCTTTATTTATGTAAAAGACAGGGTGACACAGAGAGAGGGAGACACATACACACATGTAAGGAGAGTAGGGGCTGGAGGGGGGAGAGAGAGAAACGAGACATTGTCTGCTGGCTTACTTCCCATATGCTCACAACAGCTGGGGAGAGGCTAGCCTAAAGCCAGGACCTGGACCTCCATCCCAGTTTGTCTCCCACTGGTGTTTGGGATCCCAGCACTGGTCATCTTTCGTTGTCTTTCCAGTGTATCAGCAGGGAGATGGCATGAAAACAGCTCCCTGATCTGAGAGCTGGTGTCGCATGGCAGTTTAGCCCACTATGCCCCAATGCTGCTCTCAGGAATTTATTTTTAAAGTAACAGGTAGCAGCTACTGAGCATGGCACGAGCTGCAGATGACTTGGCTTAATCATCTTTGCAACTTTAGAAAACAGTACTGTTCCTGTTGTCATGTCACACGGTTCCTGTTCCCGGGCCACACCGTTCCTGTTCCCGTGTCATGGAGGACAAAGAAGCTCTGAGGAACTAAGTAGCTGTAACAGTAGAAGCTCCTTCCAAAAGGAATTCAAGACATTACACATTTTAAAAATAAATGCATGCACAAGAAACTGTCTTCAAAGAAGTTTTTTTGGGAGAATTTCAAGGGAATATTCTACATGTGTGAAAGCCTGGGATGGAAGAATAAAGGCATATGCCTGAGTTTTGCTTACAACACCATCTTTCTATAATTTCAAAATGGCATTCGTGTCCCAATAAGGAAAGTTCTCACCTCGGGGAAGATGAGTTTACAAATGCTCTCTGCCAAGGTGTGAAGGTAGACTCGGCTGCGACTGGTCTTTCTCTGGGGAAGGCCTCCTTGAGCATGCTTCTCGGGAATGTTCTGACAGACCGGCACAGTGGCTTTGCAGCTCTCTGAGCTTCCTGCCCCCTCGCTGGCTGGCTCTTTGGGCACCTGGCCCGGTGCCAGTAAAGAGAAAGGGCACTCGCCGGTGATCTTGAGGTCCTTGAGCTTGGTGCAGAACATGGTGCTGGCGGCCTTCACCGGATCTCCCAGGGAGCGGCCGTGCTTACGTGGGCGTGCGCACTGTGAGAGCCACTTTCAACTCAACGACACCTGTGATCGTGGGATCTCTGCAAAAGAGTAGAAAGAACGGTGCTTTTACAAACAGAAGACAGGCAAAACCAGCCAGGCACGGGCACTATTTTCCAAGTAAAACAAATAACCAACAACAAAAAAGTTGTGGTGGAACTGCCAATTATAAGGGAGCGAAACCTCCAGTCTTCACCATCTGTACGTTTCAGCAGGCTAGTGACGCACTTGCTTTTAACATTCTAATACTTTTCAAATGGGATGTAATTCACGCCCAGGTATACTCAATCTGTGGCTTTTTATGTTTAAATGCATTTGATCCAGTTTGGTTTCAAAAGAGTAGAAAACCGTGGTTTTCTGAAAAGCACGTTCATTCATTAGCGCTAGCACTGCTAGGTAATGCTATCCTTTCTAGAGCGTCAGAATTATATTGATCAGTGTGTCCCAAAGTGCCTGAAGGAATAAAATACATATGATGGTGACCAAATACATGTTTTCAGATTTGAAAAGCTCTTAGAAGGAAAAAAAAAAAAACCTGAATAAGTACTGTTATTTGCAGAAGAAAGTTTTATTTCTATAAAGAATAGATAATTTTATTGAAATGGTATCATCGATAAGGGGGAAAACTAATTTTTCAAATAACTCCTGAGCCGTAAATATATCCAGGGGTTTACCAAGAGCTCTGGATCTGAGTCCAGAGGACCCTGGGCTAACGCAAGCAAGCTTCTTTTACTGGAGGTCATGAACGTACAACATTGCTGTTCCTTAAGATTTTCCACTGTGCGTGATTTTTTTTTTGATATTGTTTTTAATTGACATGTTTACCAATAGGTGGGAAATCTTTCTCTCTGTCTCTTCACCTTAAAAACAAATGAATACATAAACAAAATATGGAAGATCACATTAATAACCTAGGTTGAATGAGTCCATTAACTGTTTCCTAGTCACAAGAAAAAATAAATAAATATACACAAAGAATGGGAAAGAACCCATGTTTGCTAATTCTCTACTGTGGACTCAATATTTGCATTTAGGCCATTGGACACTGTCCAGCTGTAGGCAACTGCCTGGGTTGCCTTATACTTAGGCAGGTGTTACACTGCTGGGAAAAAAGCAGCCAATAGCTGGAAGGCATTCAGGGCCTGGTTATCAGCAAATTTGTGTTACCTACACTAGTGTGCCAGCATGGTTTCTCATTCCATCATTTATCTATCTATCTATCTATCTATCTATCTATCTATCTATCTATCTATCTATCTATCTATTTAAATATATGTGAGGAGGGCCCAGCACGGTGGCCTAGCAGCTAAAGTCCTTGCCTTGAATGCGCCAGGATCCCATATGGGCGCTGGTTCTAATCCCAGCGGCTGCACTTCCCATCTAGCTTCCTGCTTGTGGCCTGGGAAAGCAGTTGAGGACGGCCCAAAGCATGGAACCCTGTACTCACATGGGAAATCTGGGGGAGGTTCCTGGCTCCTGGCTTTGGATCTGCGTAGCACTGGCCATTGCGGTCACTTGGGGAGTAGATCATCCGACAGAGGACCTTCCTCTCTGTCTCTCCTCCTCTGTATATCTGGCTTTGTAATAAAAATAAAATAAATGTTTTGTGTGTGTGTGTGTGTGTGTGTGTGTGTGTGTGTGTGTGTGTGTGTGTGAGAGGAAAGCAGGGAACAGATAGATTTATTCATTGTCCAGTGTCCTCGATAGCTTTCGGCTTGAACTTAACGTAAGAGACAGGGACTTCATCCAGGTCACTGAAGTGGGTTGCAGCAACCCAGTTTCATCACGACTTCCCAGGATATGCATCAGGAATACCAAGGACGTGTTTTTGTTTTTTTTTCAGGTCTGCATGCCCTTATAATATGAAGTAACAAGCTGTTCATGTGTAATAAAAGCCTGAAGTTTAAATATTGGAGGGTCTCCTTCCATGAACAATAAATTATCCTAAGGAAGCTGTAAGTTAGGTCTGGGAGCCAGAGTACTCTTACACTGGATGAGTCTATCTTAACTAGAGCCACCCTGAGACCAAACACCGGCATCCCCACCATGTACCTTCCTTCCAGACAGCTCACTACTTTCTCATCCACATATTCAATGTGGCTGTGCAAAGTGACCAGTCCACCGCCTTGAAATTCTTTATTTTCCCCTATTGTACAGACCCATAATTTCCAGCAAATTTGTGTTTCACAAGGGTTGTTATAATTAACAAAAAATAGCACCTGGAACCAAGTTGTGCTTGCATCAAAATCAGTTAAATGTTTAGTCTTATGAAATCACATGTGTGTAAACAAACCAATTAGCATTCTTCACCTGTTCGGCTGATGAGTTTACACTCAAAGATGTACTCAGCATGGATACCTTGGGAACTTATGTTTGTCTTGTGCTTGCTGCCAGGAATACAAAATATGCTCTTCATTTCAGAGCAAGTAATGACTTTTCATGTGTTACTTTAGGAGTGACTTCAGAAACTGCTTGGTTATTTAATCAGTTCAAGTACGCAGCTGATTACGGAAGTGGCAATGATAAATGCAGTCAGGGAAAAACAGATTGAAATGGTAAATTTGGCAATCAGTTCTCAGCAAGGAGTTGGATAATATGTTCTCAGAAACTCGGAGAGGTACCTGCAATTCCAGAGGTTGATGATTAAACAGCCTCCAAATATATTTAATGATCTCTCCCTTTCACTGGTGAGTGATTAACTTTGCCATGGTGAGAAATAGAACTCAACTATTGGCCTGCTGTTACTAATTAGGACATTTTATTGTTCATGGAAAGAGACCCTCCATCATTTGAACTTCAGGATTTAATTACACATGAACACCTTGTAATAAGGGCATGCAGACCTGGGGAAAAAATGCTCCTTAGGTATTCTTGAGACAAAATACCTCTTTTGTAACAGCACTCCATTTCAAAATTAGAAATGGAGCAGGTGCTTGGTGACCAGACAGGTGCAGGGGAAAAGTCATCCATGGGATGGCCACATCCCGTATTGTAGTACCTGGGTTCGAGTCTCAGCTCCTGATTTTCATTCCAACTTTCTGATAATTCAACATCTAGGAGGCAGTAGATGATGACTCAAGCAGTTGCCCCTGCCTCCCATGTGGGAGACCCAGGTTCAGTCCCAGCCTCTGACTTGTACTTGGTCCAGCCCTGGCTTATGTGGACATTTATTGTGGGATTCTCAGGCTGAAATGTCTCTCACTGTTTCTGTCTCTGTCTTTCAAATATGTCAGTAATGATAATAATAAAAACCAAGGACCAACACTAGAAATAGGGGAGGCAGTGGCAAAGCCAAGCACTAAGTCTCCATGATAAAAGGAAGCAGCTGCATTGGATGCTAACATCCAAGCTGCAACCCAGATGCCACAGTGTCTATGATCGTAGAGATAGTCATGTTTTAAGCTCATAGTCAAAGTTCCAAGTTTTTAAAACCAATCAAGAGAAAGAGAGAGCTTAAAAGTAAATAGTCCTGATAATGATGAAGTTGGTGGGCTTGAGTACAATAAGACTGATTCTTATTTTATTGGAAGTCAGATTTACAGTCAGAAGGAGAACCAGAGAGAACGATTTTCCATCTGCTAGTTAATCCCCAAGTGGTCACGGTGGCTGGATCTGAGCCGATCCAAAACCAGGAGTCTCTTCTGGGCCTCCCACGTGGGTGCAGGGTCCCAAGATGTTGGGCCATCTTTTATTAGATCTTTATATGTAAAGACACAAGTGTGTATATTTGTGCAACACAAAACTAAAGCTGATTTTTAAACTTTAGCTTTTCTATCTTAATATTATTATTATTATCAATATTTTCAACTTTTGGACAGAGTGAAATCGAAGGATCTACACAATTTCGTGAATTTAATTAGAGCCTGAATTTTCCAGAAAGAGATATCAATACTATTTGGTATAATTCCTTATACTTCTATTCCAATTCACTGTGAAATCATATAAATGAAAAACCGTATATTATTCAACAATTTCTCCTAAGAATAATTTAGCACAGTTTCATGTATGATTAGATATGTGCTGAATGTCATGAACAGGATTAAGTGTATACATTACTAAGTATTAAATAGAGGAAAAACTAGGCAAGGATAACCACAAGGATCCGTAAAATGAAGATGGATTGCTTCTCAGAAACAGGTTTTAAAATGAGTTGTTCCTAAATTCAAATAGATTTCAATTAAAATTTATTGATGAAACTATTGTGTTCAGTTGCTTAGGAGGTTGATGAGGACTCTACCCACATCTGCACCGACTCTTCCTAATCAGTCATAGGGTAAGTGGCAGAAATAAAGTATTAACACTCGTTTTAAACCATCCCTCCTAGGCAGCATTAGCTAATGAAGGTGCTGGAAAGCCCTAGTCTACGTAGAATTTAAGCTGATTTTTGAAAATGGCTTGAATTTAGACATCACGACGATGTCTAAAGGGCATGCCGTAGAGACAGAACACACAGCATGAATATGAGAAAATTAGGAAGTTGTGGGAAAGACACGGGAAAAGGTGGTTGCTGGAGATACTTAAAAGTTAAGCAGGCAGGATGTGGCAACTCGCTAGAATGAAGGAACCTGATAACAGGTTTTTCTTGGAACGCTGGCGGTTTTGCTAATACAAGAAGCAGAAGTGTAACAATGGGTCTGAAACAATGCTGAATTTTTGGGTTTGTTTTATACATGGCATTTCACTGGTAACAGGATCTCCTGATAGAGATAAAGTCGCCTCCATGTTTGGAACACTATATATGCTTAATCAACGTTAACAGTTCTTATTTGGACTTGATGTTATTGCAGCATCTTTATGTTCACCTTGTTCAAGAAGCAGTTGACCCAAAACTGTATGTTTTCAAGTGTTGTACACAGACTCCTACAGATGACCTGAGGCCTTTTCACAGGACGTGCAAGGTCAACACTGTTTTCATAGTAATACCCCGATAGTGT